GGAAGGGGGCATGGTTGGGCGGGAGCTTTCTGGGCAACAATATGGTCCTGGTCATTCCAGGTCATTCCACCATTCAACGTTTGCAGATCAGGGGCACATTTGAATCCAATGATTTAAGGACCATTAAAACCAGCAAAACCTCAAGCCAAGGGTACCCTAAAGCATCCCCTATAGAAAATCGCAGCGCTGCCATCCCACCCTTGTACACACACGGGATGTTTCAAGATAAATCAGTTTTACAAGCCAACATGGGAGCCACGTAGATAGGAGTGGGGCTTCTTCTTAGGAGAAACCACTTCTCCATAGCTGAGGGTCCCAGGAAATACTAATTTTCCCCTTCTTCTCTCCATATCGCAGAGATCCAGTCTCAGCTTCGCATGGTGACACACGGCGAAGGGGGTTTCACCGTCTTTGTAGGTCTTAACGGCTCAAGGGAAGAGCTGGGGCTTGAGCCCACCAATTACTTCATGTACCTAGGAAATGACCTGGATGAAATGTAGGTTTGGCTTCCCCTTAGATGTGCTTCGTTAAGCGTAAGGAGATGAATTCCTGGGTGGTGACTCAAAACGCTCTTGGCAGGTCCTCGCTGCATGGAGATTCGGACATAGCAAGGATTCACGGAAAGGTTTGCATCAAAACCCACCTCCAACCCTCGTATCTCTCTGCAGAATGAATCGCTACCTGGCTTCTTCCAGAGAAGAAGCTGCCAAGAACATCCCTTTCCTGTTTGTCACCTGCCCGTCGGCCAAGGACCCCACCTGGGAAACGAGGCACCCAGGTAAAGGCTGAAGCCCAACCACACGCGCTTGGGGGTGGCTTGAAAACTCTTGCTGGGATTTGGTTTGTTTGATGACTGCAAACGAGGAGTTTCTCCTAAAATAGCCATGGTCAAAGCTGCTGAGCGGGTTGCTCATGGAAAGCAGTCTTCTAGATAACTGGACCAGGCTATGGGACCACAAAGACCTGGGGACATCCCAGGTGTTCGCGTGGGGAGGGTTGGGTTTGTGGCAGCAAAATGGTGGCAGAGGGACAACTGCCCCAACCTTGTCCTGCTGCAGGTAAATCCACACTGTCCGTCGTGACCTTCGCCAAATACGAGTGGTTTGAGGAGTGGAAGGACAAGCAGGTCAATAAGCGGGGAGATGAGTACGAGGAGTTGAAGACGACCTTTGTGGACAGCGTCATGGAGGCTGTCTTCAAGCTCTACCCTCGCATCAAGGACAGGGTGAGGAAACCCGGGGTTCGTAGGTCCTCCAGCTCCTCTCCTGGGTCCTGTCTACCCAGCCCCATCCTGCACACGTTGGAGGAGGGTCCGGGTCTGCTGGACGTGAGGTTCCAGCACCAACCCATCGCTGCTGCCTCCTGACCACGCGTGGTGCAAGGGTGGGTATGATGGGCTTCCAGGACCATGCTGGGACCAAACTTGGCCAGAACCACCACCCAAAGGTCTGCAAGGAACCCTGTCCCAGCCCGTACCCCATGAAAACGGCTTTCTAGAGCATGAGACACCCCACACCGTCACACCTACCCCGTGCAGACCACGTTGTCCCCTTGTCGTCCCCACCCCCCCCAGATCGAGTACATGTCCGGAGGGACGCCCCTCACCAACCAGCACTACATCGCCAGCCCCAGGGGGGAGATCTACGGCGTCGACCACAGCATCGCCCGCCTGCAAGCCGAAGCCATCGCCGCCGTGAGGGCGCAGACGGCCGTCCCCAACCTCTACCTGACAGGTACCACGGCCACCACG